AGCCTCCCAAAGGCGCGGGATTACAGGCTGAGCCACCGAGCCCGGCTGCCAATATATTTTAACTGCCCCTTTTCAAGAATGCCCTAATGCTTTCCTCCACTACCTAAATGTTAACCACCTTCTACTTTCACAACAAAGAGAATATATTTCTGTTTGCTGGGAAATGAGTCTTCAGTTTAGAAATAAAAAAAGGTAGCCTTACTCACCAGCATGTGGGGCTTTTCCTCCTTTTCTTGGGACCAGTCAATATAGTTAGAGGGCAAACCTAAGGGAAGATGAAAAGGCTATGAGAAACCAGACCTCACATTATGCTCTTCTGAGCCCAAGGAAGGAGGAAGTAGTCACTTTACTCAAATGTGACCTCTGAAGCATTCTCAGGTGAACCCAGAGTATGGCCCTTCCCTTTACCATCCCAGGGCCTCAAGAATTCTCACCTTTTGTCTTAAGATTTTGAGTCCATTTCTTCACGATCTCTATATCAGACAACATCATGGCCCCAGAGGCAGTCCAGCCTTGAAATTCTGCCAGAGGACCAGATAGATGCTATTTCATCACAAGATGGATTTCTGCTGCCTGGGGTGACTTCTTCCAATCTCAATTGTAAAAGCCCATCTCGTTTCCATGCAGCCAGGACCTGTGGGATGGAGAGGCAATTGACACTGCTGGGGCCTTTATTGGAGGGCCCAAGCCTATGCCTCTTCAGCAGGGATCCTGTCCTCTCACATCCTCCTCAATCAACAAACATGGAGTCTCCGTCTACAGGGGTTTCCTGAATATTTTTACCTTCATTCATTCTTCCTTCATTTTTAGGCCCTCAAGTCTGTCTTATTCCACCATCCCTTGGCTTTCAAAATTTACAACTTCTTCCACCTCTGTATCTCAGATTCAAACTCCATGTCTTGGCTCAGTCTTTGCTACTGAGAGCCTGAGTCAGAAAGAAGACACAATATAGTGCCAGTAGATAAAGTCTCTGAATGTCTCCTTCCAGACCAATCAGCTTCTGACTGCCCTGGCAGAAGCTCCCACATATGTTCAATTTCCTATGTCTCTGCACTCTAGGAGTTTAGAGGCTCTAAGCTGAGTCCTTCTTACTTGAGACAGCTCCAGATCTCACAATGATTCTGAAATGATAACTTCCCACCTGCCATTTCTGTATACCACATGACCTCATCACACATGTGCATTTTTGTCTCCTGATGGGTTCGAGTCAAAGCCTCCACTCATGTGGTCCCAAAGGGGTCAGGTACTATTAGGAGCTATGCCATCAGAAGCTCCTCAGAGACTGTCCAGGACTGTCCAGGATCTCAGGCCAAATGATGCCTACTGTGGCCTCATAGCCTGTAGTGCCAGATGGGTTCTCCTGAGAAACTCTTAGTGGTTCATTCCCTAACACCATAGACAGAGTTAATCAGTCCAACCTAGGCATCTCATCTTAATCAGACCATATTGCAATCGGTATTTACAAGTCCATCTTTAGTGAAATGTGAGCATCTTGTAAAAAGAAATGCATCTTCTTTTGCTGAACTAATCCTAGTGATTAGGATAAAATAGTCCTTTGTGGTAGATTTTTTTTTTTTGAGTTGGAGTCTCACTCTGTTGCCCAGACTAGAGTGCAGTGGTATGCTCATAGCCACAGCAGCCTTGACCTGCTGGGCTCAGGTGATTCTTCCACTTCAGTATTCCAAGTAGCTGGAACTACAGGCATGAGCCACCATGCCTGGCTAATTATTTATTTATTGTAGAGATGAGGTCTCACCAAGTTGTCCAGGCGGGTCTCCAACCCATGGACTCAGGCAATCCTCTCACCTTGGCCTCCCAAAGTGTTGGGATTATAGTCGTGAGCCACCGCGCCCGGCCTCATGGTAGATTTTTATCATATTTGTTTCCAATTATTTATTTCTCCACAAAAAATTTTCATCCTTCCTGAAATGCTGGCATTAGGCTTGATGTTGCTATTTGCTTTGGAAGTTAAATGTGAATGAAATTGACAGTGCCTTGCTGGGCTCAGTGGCTCAGCCTATAATCCTGCGCCTTGGGAAGCTGAGGTGAGTGGACTGAGTCCGCAGGTTCGAGACCAGCCTGGGCAACTTGGCGAGACCTCATCTCCACAATAAATCAAAAAATTAGCCAGGGGTAGTAGTGCGCGCCTGTAGTTCCAGCTACTTGGAAGGCTGAGGTGGAAGGATCGCCAGAGCCCAGCAGGTCGAGGCTGCGGTGGCTGGGAACGGCCACTGCACTCCAGTCTGGGCAACAGAGAGAGACTCCAACTCAAAAAAAAAAAAAAAAAAAAATTGACAGTGCCATTTCTTTTCTTTTCTTTTTTTTATTTTATTTGAGTTGGAGTATCACTCTGCCACTCAGGCAGGAGCACAGTGGCACGCTCACGGCCACTGCAGCCTTGACCTCCTGGGCTCAGGTGATTCCTCAGCCTTCCAGGTAGTTGGAACTACAAGCACATGTCACCATGCCTGGTTAATTTTTGTTTTATTATTTACTGTAGAGATGAGGTCTCACCAAGTTGCCCAGGCTGGTCTCGAACCTGTGGGCTCAGGCAATCCTCTCAACTTGGCGTCTCAAAGTGCTGGGATTATAGAAGTGAGCCAACATACCCGGCTACCATTTCTTTTTTAAATTTTTGTTTGTTTGCTTGTTTGTTTACTTATTTATTTATTTTTTCGAGTTGGTGTCTCACTCTGTTGCCCAGGTTAGAGTGCAGTGGCACTCTCGTGGCCACCATAGCCCTGACCCGCTCAGTTCGGGTGATCCTTCCACGTCAGCCTTCAAGTAGCTGGAACTACAGGCACACACTACCACGCCCGGATTATTTTTTTATTTATTGTAGAGATGAGGGCTTACCAAGTTACCTAGGCTGGTTTTGAACCCGTGGGCTCAGGCAATTCTCTCACCTCGGCCTCCCAAAGTGCTGGGATTATACGTGTGAGCTTCCGAGCCTGGCTGCCATTTCTTTTTTTTAATTTTTATTTGTTTGCTTTTTTATTTATCTCAAAATCTCATTCTGTCTTTTAGGCAGCACATTATTTATTTATGAATCCAAATCTCATTCTGTCACTTAGATGGCAAACTCTTGGCTGCTGTAGCCTTGACCTACTGGGCTCAGACAGTTCTTCTGCCTTAGCCTTCCAAGTAGCTGGAACTAAAGGCAAACACCATCACACTTGCCTAATTTTTCTTGATTTATTCTAGAGTTGCACAGGCTGGTCTCAACTCCCTGAGTTCAGACAATCCGCTTGCCTTCGCCTCCGAAATTGCTGGGATTACAGGCATCAGCCACCATGCTCGGCTGACAATGCCACGTCTGCACACTGCATAACTCCACCATTTCTCTTGATCTGAAAACAGCATGTTTCTAAAAGGGACTGTGGTCCTACTGTAAAAAGTCATGGAACAGAACTGGAGCTAACAGGCAAATGAAGAAGTGTAAAGACTGGGTTTGAAGTTAGATGGCTGTGTGAGGTACTGAGATTTGTGGGTCATGTGTCATAGCAATACAATTTAGCCTCAGTGGAAAAAGATAACTCTTTTCCTCCTAGTAATACTAATATCTGTAGCTAACATGTATAAAACAGAGGCTGGGCACAGTAGCTCACGCCTGTAATCTCAGCACTTTAGGAAGCTGAGGCGAAAGGATTGCCTGAGCCCAGGGGTTCGAGACCAGCCTCGGCAATTTGGCAAGACCTCGCCTCTACAATAAATCTAAAAGTGAGGTGGCACATGCCTGTCGTTCCAGCTAATTGGAAAGCTGAGGTAGAAGGAACGCCTGAGCCCTGCAAGTCGAGGATGCGGTAGGCGGTAGTCATGAACGTTCCACTGCACTGGGTGACAGAGTCAGACCCAAACTCAATTAAAAAAACACACACACACACAAAGGAACAAGGTCTGAACTAATCACAAAGTTCCATCAACCCTTTTCTCACCTCATTTCTTATTTCTTCACCATCGCCTAAAACAATGCCCACTAAACAAATGACTAAATGAAAGGGCAAAATATAAGCAGATAGGGTTTGAAATTCACCCAGAAGACAGGACCTTCAGAGTGAAGTAAAGAACGGGTATGGATCAGTCAGATGGACTGAGTTGTTCTGTAGTAACCAACAAACTTCCCCAGAGTCTCAGTAACTTAATGAACTGAAGGCTTATTTCTCACTTGGGCTCCATGTCAATCCATCTAGCAACTGCAATTGTGCTCCAAGTCCTCTTACCTCCAAGATGAAGCTAACATTGCACTTGCTATTTAGAAAATGGCCATAATAAATCCTCAAGGGAGAAACTTGGTAGAGAACAATACACAGGCTCTTAAACATTCCACCCAAAGAGACAATTCTACCCACACAGCTGATTCTACACAGTTCTACACAGGCTCTTAAATATTCTACCCAAAGAGGCAATTCTGTCAATGGCTCATTGGCAAATCAAGTCTTGGTGTCATTCCTGAGTTGGCCATATACCTGCAAGAGGCCACATGGAATGGATGCCAGGATATTTGATAAATAGTAAAACATACTGCAACAAGGTCCAAAGCCTATTAACTCATTCTCCCCTAGCCCCAGTCCCTACTATTAATCAATACTTCAAAGTGTGAGGCTCTATGGCTGTGCTAGAAAACAAAAGTAAAGAACACAGTCCCAAAACCTGCCACACCAAAAGACATAAGTGTCACATAATTTTATTGGCCAATTCTAGCAAAATTTGGAGAAACAAGTCATTCCTGTAATGGATATTTAGGGCTCCAAAACATTTTTTAAAAGGTTTTCTAACTCATTATATCATGAACACCCAAAACAAGCAAGAACACTAAAGAAAAGAAAACTAGAGGCCAATTACCTTTTCCACCTGTCTGACATAAAACATGAACATCCCAACTTTCTCTTGGTCAATAATACTTCCCAAGAGTGCTCAACCTATTACACTATTTATTTGTTTCCAATGCCAGTGACACTTTTTATTTTTTTTTAATATTTAGAGACGAAGACTAGCCATGTAGCCCAGGTTGGAGTATAGTGGCTATTCAGGGTATGACCCATAACAAAAGCAAAAGGGTCTTTACCAATACCAGGTCTACAGGTGGAGGGAGCAGTTACCAGAATCATGAGCTAGAGTCATGTAGAAAGAGTTGCTGGACAGAAGTTTTGGCCTTCACAAGAGGCACACAATTAACTGGGTGACCATGTAATGATAGAGTCAAAGATAGAGTCAAAGAAATAAACATGTAACAGAGGAGGGAATTCTGTGTAGAGAAGTTATCGGAACCAAGTCTCCTTCTAAAGCAAATGAGTAATTATGGGATATTCTAACTCTTATCAATCCCTTGAACTAGAGAAATAGGATTTTTGGTGTAGAAGAAAGGAGATATAAACATGACACTGAAAAGATTAGTTTGTAAAAATCCAGTATTCCTAAATTTGGATTAGAAATATAAGCATGAACTGCTAAAATATTTCTTTCTTTCTTTTTTGAGTTTGGAGTCTCACTCTGTCGCCCAGACTGGAGTGCAGTGACCGCTCCCGGCCACCACAGCCTCGACCTGCTGGGCTCCGGTGATCCTTCCGCCTCAGCCAATGAAATATTTCGTTTGGTTGTTTTTTTTTTTTTTTTTTTGAGTCAGAATCTCACTCT